GTATCATCAAATGAAACTGTTCATTTCCGCCGCCTCTCAGAAGGCAAACAACGTTTTCTCGCAGAGCTTCGCCAGACCCTAACTAGTCTGCTGCTTTCCGAGCTTGGTAATCTCGTGTTCGCGTCCGGTTCCGAGACCGATGGTTGGTTTGGCAATCTGGGACAAGAATGTATCGACCGCCGAGATGCCGAGGAGCGAAGAGCGCGGAGGCCTTCGGTAAGGAGGGACCGCGCTAGCAAGAGTTCCGCTAAGCAGAGAGTGATAGAGAAGAGGAAGAGTTTCGGTAACCTTCGGCAGGCCGGAGAGGCGTCGAGGGCCGACCTGGGCTCGGATAGGCCCGATAGTGCTTCGGGCCGGAGCAACGATAGCTCTGCCACGAGCGATACGGTCTCGGCTCGCGCAAGGTCTTCGAAGAAGAAAGAGACTCCGGATTTTCCTTATACGAAAGCCTACCAGAGGCTGCTTGGAATGTTCGCCGTCCACCCAAATCCGTACACCAAGCTTAATGCTCTCCTCGAGTTGGAGCGCCTCATATCCGCTTCGCTGTCCAGCGGTTCGCGTAGGTCTCGGTGGACTACGAGACACCAATCCGCATCCGTCGACGACGACGGCAGCCTTCCGGGGAGGCCGGACGCGAACGAAACGGGCGGCGATAACAACAGAGAACGGCGTTCCCAACCGTTCCAGTCGCATATGTTCCCTATCCAGCCTCGTCCTACCAAGAATTCCGATGCTCGCTCTATCGTCTCAGTGAAAGAAGCAACCAACACCGACGCTATCGCGCGAGTACTTCGGTCTCTATTCAAAGACGCGGGTATACGGCCCAAGACGCTGTTCCGCGATCTACAATTCATTAATTCTTTTGTATCCCCATCCACGTTAGACACGGATCGAAACAAGGCCTTCTGGGATATCGTTGTAGTGGCGCTCTCGCTCAAGCAAGACACCATTACGACGATGGTCGAGGTTGCGGACGAGATCCTAAATTATTACACGCCGTCGAGGAAGCGTCCCGGCGGTAGCGACGATGCGCCGGAGATGATGCGCCAGCCGCCGATCCACTCTCTTCGCGACGCGGCGAAGATGTGGACGATCGCGGCCAAGGAGGGCAACGCCACGGCGCAGCGGGAGCTGGGCCTTTTTAACCTTAGCAACCCCGAGCTTGTCGAGAGGAGTACGTTGCCTTTGTCGAAGCCGCGGGACGTATTTAAGCAAGCCGTCATGGAGAAGTTCGGTCCGCGACCCGGGAGCAGCGCCCGCCACTCGGCTGATCGGAGCCGAAGCAATCTAGGCACGGCTGGCCCGTCCTCTTCAGGAATGCAGGACACGACTATGGACGGTGACGTTAGGAGCGACCCGACTCTAATGTGCGTCGCTATCCACTGGATGAAGGAAGCCGAACGTGGCGGAGACGAGTTGGCCAGGACGTTCCTCGGCCAGAATGAGATGATGGGGCTCTGAATGATTGCTACGCTGACGTTTGCTACTGCAACTTACCTGTCTTACGTTTTCTATCTGTTTGTCCTCGCGGAGTTATTTGTCGAGCACGTTGATGACGGCCTATGCTACCGAGAGCGAGATACAGATCCACATGTTCAACACACATTTTCCTTCTGTCAGTTGGATAATCCACGACTTTCTTTTTTTATTTCTTTTTTTTATTACCTGCATCCATCGGCGTGGCTTTTTCTTGCCTGTTACAAAATCGATACCCAACCATTGTCTATCTGGCCTCTAAATCATATAACGTTGGGCTTAGGGATACGAGGGTAAAAAAGAATGGGACGTGACGGAATGAAATCTGCTGGAGCTAGGAACGTGACACGATATGACATACATATACACGCATACTTTATACCCATTTCGCTGGCTCGGAAATATTGTCATGGTCCTGGTTCGAATTGGAAAACCGGCAGGCTGTACCAGTACTACTATTTTTATATTCGTGCAAGCGTTGCATTACTCAAATCGATTTTCGGCCCGTGTCGTCGGATGGGATAGGATGATGATGTTGCGAATGGGAAATTTATACCCAGGTTCTATTTACTTTTACTGATATTATTACTGCCAACTGATACTCTGCCGCCTTTTTTTACTTTAGGTGCTTATATAGATGAGCCGCTACTGCGGACGAGATGGATATACCAAACAGACGAGGAATTTTATTTTATTTTCGAGGTCTTAATAAAAAGTATTAAATTCAAAGCTTCTTTCGTCAAGTGAGGCTTCCGCACTCGAGTGTTTAGTTGGTGAATGAGGCATCCCTAATATGCGAGTGAACGAGGGTTCTCCAATGCGAGGCTAGCTTCGTGGTAAGGTCAAAATTAGGTATCTAAGGTATGTTACTTGCAAAATTCGCAAGATAGGTCAATCTTAATCTACGGTCTGCGTCTCCGGGATATGAACGTTATTAAGGATGCCTGGGAGAGCATTCCGGGATATGAAACAAGTAGTCTAGGTGTGAACCGAGTGTACCTTGCGCAAGGCTGTCTTGTCTTTAGGCTACGTCGGAAAAATCTAGTTAGGAAACACGATATAAATACCTGATAAGATGCCAATTGGACCCAGCGATGCGGTTGACGTGATGAATTATATATTAGGTGTTAATAAATGCTGGGGTATCTTGGGTCTAATCTTTCTTCCCTCTCGTTCTTGACACGCCATTGGCGCCATGCCCGTTCTGCGCCGAAGCCCGCTCCTCAGGCTCCGAGTCTATCGAAACGACCGTCATATCCGATCGGACCCGAAATTGTTTGCCCCTCCAATTCACCGTGGCACCGAGGAAGACGGCCCACGTCCATATAGGGAGGGCCAGGACCTCCCGCCCTAACCAAGCCAAGAACCACTCGCCGAATCGGCGCTTTTCAGCACCGCCGCGGCTCGTGCCCCGGGCAAATAATGGCGTCTGTTCGTCCACGTGTATGCTGTGTCCTGCATGCAACTTCCTGAATACGATCCGGTCTACAACCATCCAGAGCGCGACGCCAGCGAGCCAGAGCTGCCACAGAGCCTTCCAAGTTTGTGGAATGCCAAGAGTCTGCTGAAACCAAGGGACGCTGGTGAGACCGAAGGACACGTAGAAGCAGCACACGAGGCTCTCGACGCCGTGCTCAACTAGAGTAGCTGACAATACGGTCCATTTCCTAGCACGCAACCATCTCATCCTGCGTGAGACGTAAGCGGGCACTGACATTCCCGCTATAGGCTGGATCGCGAGGTCGCCCCAAACAAGACCGTGATTTGCGAAGCCGGGCAGGCTGGAACGCCATAGAAGGTCGCCAATGACATGATCCTCGCACATGAAGAGAGAGAAATGATCTAGGCCCTTGGGCAGAGTTGCGGCTCTGCCCGTCAGGATCGGGTTTTGGGCTGGATCTGTGACCCGATCGAGATGCGACTTGCGGAACATATTGCTCTTCCCAACGATGCAAGGCGCAATACCAACGGTGTTAATGGCGCCGTAGAACTTAGCGTGGGTCGTAGCCATAAACATCTCCTCCAATCTTCCTCCCCCGTGAGCCCAGGACCTAGACAAAACGGAGGACGGCACGTCGACGCTGGTCTGCGCATCGGAACCGCCAGTCACCGAAGATCCGGATAGTAGGGTCTGGCCCTCGGAATTTGAAGAGCTCATGGAGGTGACGGTATCTACTACTAAGGGTAGTTGGTGGACGAATTTGAAAGGTTTCGCACGCTTGCCGTTTGGTCGGTATCCGCAGAGCTTGTCGACCATACGACCAGCTACGTCCCTTGCTATCCACACGTTGCAGTCGAGAGGCCATATTATATCCCCTCTCGCTTCTCTGTACGCCCTACTCAGATTGCGAATCTTGGGGTTCGGACCAACATTATCGACGTGGCCGCCGTCGCCGTGGAGGTAAGGGTCTTCGGTTTCGACGAAAACCTTGGCATCGAAATCGGAGTGGTTATCGAGGAGCTTCAGGATGACGGGGTACGCGGCATCTTCCTTAGAAGAGACGCAGAAGTAGATGGTCAACTTGTCTTTCGGATAGGACTGGTGGAATACGGAGGCGAGACATTCGTACAAGCCAGGTTCTAGGCCCTTGGCAGGCCGAATTATAGTTACGTGCGGCACCTCATCTTTCGGCAGGTATGGAGACACCGGGGCGACGGGAACTGACGAGTAGCAGCGGAAGCTGTTTGAGACCGGAGTTAGAAACATGTCTTCATAAATTAGGAGGACGGATAGAGAACGTATATGAATTCTTACATTTTATACAGGCCAATGCTTTGAACTGAAACGATGAAGAAGCCCCATATGATGCCGGCGCTACCTAACGCCTGAACAATATATGAGGGCATTGGAACATATCAAGATGAAGAGGAGAAGACCGTCAAAAGTTAAATAATTAAAAGAAGAAAAAAGGAAAAATATAGAGCGTGTACGGTGGACGTCCCGGGACAATATCAAACAGATCTAGCGGGAGGTAAGGAGAAGAAATTAATAAAGGGCATTCCATCCATATCGGGGCTAATGACGATCAGATATCGAATGCTTGATGGCAATGGTATCGTTTTACGACTCAGGGAACATAAACGCGGCCCGTTCTACCCGGCATTGTTGATGGATCCCCTAAGAATCTGAGGTCCCGCTAATAAGAAAAATTTAAACCAAAATTGCAAGTGATCAAAAGCGATGACAGCCGCAGAGGATCGTCACTTCGCTATTGCGGCCTTGCGATAGAAAGCCGGGAGTGCACGGGCCCTATCTAATCTACGACACCTAATCCAATCTGTCGGGCACATGTACATATTGTACCTATTGTATTGTACATACCTAACCTAGGTACAATACCTTCAATTCCATATCTCGGCTGGAGCCCTACCGCAGCACACGTGCTGTACATTAGGTACGTTCAACGGACTAGCGGATCCGCGGATAATGCCGGCCCGACAATCCAATTGGATGGATTAGCCCGACCGTTTTGATTATTTTTATTGTTTGCGCATACCGCTAACAAATCTTTCAACCTTCAGCTCACAACTTTGTAAAATTTAGAAGAAGTTTGACTCGTTTTACCTCAACCACAAGAACTCAGGGCTCAGTCAGGATAGCTTGACGAGTGATGAATAATCTACTCTATCAAAGATAGAGATAGACATTAATAAATCATGTAAGCAGCTTTGAAACTTCTATCAGCGCAGTTGGTATCATATAGGTTCCGATCCTGAAAGTAGAAGAATTTCCTTTGTTTTTATCGCGGTGATGACACCTTTTTATTCGGTGCTTAGAGACCTTCAAAAAGTCTCGATGAGTGTCCCAATATAGACTACAACGGTATCTGAGCGATTATATCAATTTGTTTATTTGAGATTAAACTTTTTTTTTGCCTTTGAAGCTTTCAACATTGCCTCTTTGTGACCCAAATTCGAAAGCTGCGATGTAAAATGACATTCGGCTGACAGCTATCAAAGTAGGCCGACATGATGAGCAATAATCATGGCAGACACACCCAGTACCGTGTCCACCGCCCCGAACCTACATGATACCTCTTCAATTCCTGTGAATTCGGACCCATCTCCCCAAGTGAAGCCTAAGCCTCGTTCTGCCGTCCCAAAAGGACCCCCACTTCATCAGATTTATGCGCTCCCTGCGCCTATCCGTACTTTTCCGTTACCAACCTTTTATCCGAGTAATCCGCTGTCCCTTTTTCACGTGGTCTACGCGTGGGTGAGCCAGCTCGTGTCCCCGCCGCCAGCTGAGCCTACTGTAATTCATCAAGGCGTCTGGTCCGCGGAGACTCGATCAGTCCATATCAAGGACCCCAAATCGATACGAGCATTATGGGAACAGGGGTTCTTCGGTAAAGGCAATTACAGTAGGAGCGAGCCGAATTGGCTCAAGCGAGAACAGGCTCGGAGGGGTGAACACGATGGCCACGTTGCCGAAGCCGTAACCGCCCAGAGGCGAGAAGAGCGCAAGTTGATGAAGTGGGACCGTGCCAGGAAAGAGCAGGAAGCAATCGAACGGACCAGGCAGCAGGAAGCATGGGTAGCTCCAGTTGGGCCCGCCGAGTTGTTGGCCCTTCCAAATTCTCGGTGTGATCTAAAACCCATATACCCTAACGGTTCGACAAGCGAAAATATGGCGCGGATTCCCATCATGAATGGTACTCGGAGCGTCGTCAAGACCGCAAACGGGGCCGCAAATGGCGTCTCGTTATCATTAGATACCACCACGACGAAAGACGCCGATAGGACAAGCACGGCCGAGAAGGAAACAGCAGCGGCTTCGTCCGGGATGAATGGTCACTCTTCACAACCGCATACTCCAACTAACCCCCCTAAGAGACGCAAGTCGGTGCGATTTTCGCCCAAGGTGGAGTCGACAACTTTTCAGCTGTTTGATCCACCGAGCCCCCGTCACGGCGCATTGCTAAATGGGAACACGCCTAACGGCATTATATCAAACGGGGTTTCCCCGTTAGCTCGGCCGACAGACTTGGGCCCATCACAGCCTGCCCTTGAAAGCGAGACGAACGTCAAGACTAGTTCCGAGTCGGAACTCGAACTTGTAGATAAGGAACGCCTTCAGTTATGTCCGGAAGAGGCTTTCTACCTCGTCTTTGCTCTAGGGGCTTTGAGTATTTTAGATTCAGCGACTGGCAAACCAATCACGGCTCCAGATCTGTTCAAGCTTTGTCGCCAGGTCTCGTACATACCTCCGAGGACGGTAGATCTTCGGCCGGATGATTCATTTCTTATTCATTATGCCGTGTACCACCATTTTCGGTCTTTAGGCTGGGTGACGCGGCCTGGTATCAAATTTGGTGTCGATTGGATGTTATATAACCGTGGTCCGGTATTCTCTCATGCCGAGTTTGCCGTCGTCGTTTTACCAGCGTACACCGATCCTTGGTGGAGGACACAGGGCCGCCAACCTCCTCGGAGGTCTTGGCACTGGCTTCATACCATCAATCGTGTGCAAGCTACAGCCCTAAAGACACTGGTTCTTGCGTATGTAGACATACCGCCCCCGTTTGAAGAAGGGCTCGGGGCGGCTGAGGTCTTGAAGCGGTATAGAGTCCGAGAGTTCATCGTAAGAAGATGGCTCAGCAATCGGAATAGGGATTAAGTGGTCACATAGAATAGAGGGATGCATCAGAAGCGCAAGTTCATAGGGTGGCGTTCCGGATTTAACTGTACGATTATTACGATTAACGCGTTTGAGATAATGAACGCGTCATATGAATACATCTCATGAATACAATCACTCTACGAAGCTTCAGCTCTAGCAGCAGGCCTTTTCATGAGGCGTCACATTTCTACCGGCCTTCACAATCGTCTAGGTCAGGTTGGTCGGTCTCTGAATTTAGTTTTTTATAATCTCTTGTCAACTACTCGGGACTATTCCAATTCGCTAACGACGTTAACCTAAAAAACAATCAGCTTTGAGCAGCTGTTTTCTATCTTATATATCCCGGCTCTTATGCCAATCAAATTGAACACACGCTGACCTGTTTCGACGTTCCCTCGCTACTAGGTAGTTTTATCTTAATTATCGTCATTCGCATCTCGCTCCAGTAGCACCTCGCGGTCGTAGTCCTTCTCGCTAGCGGCCGGCAAGAACCTTGTCGAGACGGTAAAAGCAGCAGCAATGACGGTCACGATCAGCCATACGAGATAACCCCAGACCAATTCGTACTTGGCGCTAATAGCAAACAGACTGGTAAAGAGCACAGGAGAAAAAGCGCGAAGACCACTCGTGATGGTCAGCGCCAGGGCATTGAGCGTGCCTAGAGTCGCCGGAGATGGCGACACGTCATTTAGCGCAAGCTGAACCCCCGTGAAGGCCATGCTAACACCCGGGCCGAGTGCTAGGACGATAGGGGCTACGATCCAGAACGCAGCGTTGGAGGCGGGAGTTCCTTGATACAGAATAAGATTTAAGAACGGCATAACACCGACGAAGAACGGGTATGCGATGCCACAGGCGCGTAGAACACCGTTGGTTCCGTATCGACGCTGCAGGAGCGGGAATGCTAAGAGAAGCCATAACGCTTGAGATGCTCCGGTTAGACCCATGCATAGAGAAATCTGCAAGGGTGTAAAACTAAAGCCGCCGCGTTCTACAGACGTGTACCAGAATACGGGGACAATTGCAGTGTATGCGCACCCGAGGAGCATTGCGTGTCCGTAATTGTATAGCACGATGCCGACGCCAGGGGCTTTGAGGAGACGTAGCGCGGATGTTGATTCCGGTTTGTGCGCCGCGCCTGCTTCGCCGTCGGTAGAGTCTGCGCCCGGTACCTTGCTCCGATCCAACGTCTCTTCGATGAACAACGCGCTGGTAAATACGGCCGTCAAGCCGATACATCCTACGACAATAGACGATAAAGCGTAAGGGTACTCCTCGAAAAATGGCACGCCGCTAAACGCCCAGGGGTACTGATGGGCGGGGTCCGCGAGCGCGCCGCCGATGAGAGGACCGAGGAAGATGCCGATATTGCTAGTGAAGGCAAACCAGCTAAAGGCGCGGGCTTGGGTATGCGGGGTGCTGTGCTCGGCGATCATGGTGCGAATGGTGACGACGGTACCGGCGAAGATACCGGCTAGACACCGCAGCACGATCATCTGCCAGATAGAGCGCGCAAGCCCGAACAGGGAGACCGAAATAGCGACGCCGAGCAGAGACGATACGAGTACGGGTTTGCGGCCCCAGCGATCGGCTGCTCGCCCCCAGAACATCATTACGACCATCTGCGTGAGCGAGAAGAGGGACTCGACCAGTCCGCCGTAGAAACCTACGTCTTCTTCGCTCACTGCGTTGTTATGTTAGCCTTTACTCTTTTACTCTATTATCTACTTACCGCGTGGCGTAGTAGGAAGACGAGGACGAGAACGACGATAGGAACATACGGTGGCCATTCTCTTGTACCATCTGGTTGATGTACGGGAATATGGAAAAGAAAGCGATGGGCTCGACAAGACGCGCGTAACAGAGCAGGAAGATCTGAAGCCTCGGTAGCGGTTTGTTCTCAGGCCTATCGAGAAGTCTATAAGACTCGCCGTCCTCCGCGGTAAGCGTATCGCTTCCGCTTATCGTCGCAACGGGAGATACCACTAGAAGCGGAGTCGTCTCGCTGGCGGAATCGGGAGAGAAGGAATGGGTGCCATTCCCGCCACTCCCGCCATTCCCATCGTCGTTACTAGACGCCATCGTGAAATACCAAGTCTCGGGGTAATCAATTCGCCGTAATTCCTCGGTGGATGTATGTAGGGACTATTGAGTCCGCCGAGTCCTCGTCGGGTCTCTACCCTTCTTAAATAAAAGATCGCAGATTCCGTTACACCAGGCTTATCATCAAAATACAACCGGTCAACTTCGTACATGCTCTTATGTACTCCAAACGGGTAATTCGCAATGCTACATATGCATACACCTCGATTAGTCTCATGCAAGGGCAGAATGGCTGATCGAGGACGATATTATGAGATAAAGACGAGGAAAGAAGTTATGTAGATGGCCGTGAGGCGGTTGGCGTTTTATGTATTAATGCCCAGGTACGAGGGTTTCTGCTGTCCCGTCATTGATCAAAAACACAGTGATCCAAAGCACAGTGTGGTCTGCACCGTATATTAACTTTAGAGACGGTGTCTGACCCAATGCTTTGGTTCGTTGTGGGATCTTGGACCCTTATTATTCCTTTTCGCGTCAACGATCAATGGGACAAATCTCATATCATAGGAAACATTTAACACATGTGTGTTACATTCATTAACATTCATTGACTAGTTGGCTGCTAAAAATATAATATTACGAAAACAGAAGAGTTTTCCCGAGGTTGATCGAGAGCTGTCAATCTGGTTCCAAGTTCATAATCAATCATACCCAAACATTACATAAACTCCGACACGAAGAGAAATCATAATAGTCAGATAATATGCTTACACGCGGTACGGAAGTACCAGCTCGCCCGGCGCGTTATAGGTCGGGACTTTCATGTCGAGCGCTTCGCCGGTGTATCCGAGATCTTCGGCAACTAGCGTTGCTGCCTTCTCGCCAATGAGAAGAGCGGTAGAGTATCTGCGTCGTGTTAGAGGGCAACAAGGAGGTATCCTGGATATGATGTTTAACTTACGTGTTGCAACCAACGTTGTCGGGGCAGATGCTAAGATCCGCAACCTTGAGGCCCTGGACCCCATGGACGTTCAAGCGCTCGTCTAGGACACCATGCTTGACGATACTGTTACCCTCCTTCGGGGCCATAGAGCATGTCTAATATGAAATGGTAAGCATGGATGGAGCTCGCAAAAATAAATCGTAGCGATTACTTACGCCTAGGCAATGCCACGTACTTTCTACGTGCCTTCTAACCCACTCTTCGATAGCTTCGATATCTCTCTTGCTATACTTGAGATCGTCTCGGATGTCCGCCTTGTTGCTGTTTAGGATGTTGGCTTCTGGCCTCCTGGACGGCTCGGGGTTATAAGTACTCCAGCTACCATGCTGCAAGCCGGCGCTTAGATTGCCGGGGAGGGCGTAGCGTCGAGTCGTCTCGAGATCCATATCGTTGGCTTTGGCTGGAGAGTCATAGTCAAAGAAAGGGTGCATCGCCTGGACCTCTCCGGCGTAGGCTTCCATGCGACGTGCCGTCTCTCTGCTCTTAATATAACCCCATACCATCGGCGCCATATCGCGCTCGTCATTCATGAAGCCCGGGTCAAAGTCTGGAGCCTCGTAGGGGTCGGCAGACTTGATATGGGTGAATCCTCGCGAGAATGGATACTCGAGGAAGTGGAACATGGAAAAGAATTTACCGGGGGGAAGTAGCATATGATCGCCAAACCAACCGGCAATGATGGAATAGTGCATCACCGGCTTATCCGGCTTGTTCTTGAAGTATGACTTCCAGCCCTCGTTGAACTGCGGCGTGGGCCAAGACTCGAACTCCTTAAGTTCCTCTTCCGTTGGGCGAATCTTCACGCCGGCATCGATACCGTTGGTAGCAAGCGGCCCGGTTCCCTTCGCCGCCCATTCGTCAAATACCGCTGGAGATCCATTAGCATCACGACTGGCGATATATAATGCTTCTCTTACCCTTCTGCACTTCAGGTACGCCTCGAACGAAATCATCGAAGCTATCCGTCTCGGGTTTCGCGCGGTATACGGAGAAGGTCAGATAGTGGTCTTGGAAGTTGAGGCCCACGCCGGGTAGGTTGACAATGGGTTCAACTCCAGCTTTCTTTAGCTTCTCGGGGTCGCCTGGGAATTGTTAGCACTTGCGGGTTCGCAATCTAATTACAGAAGCATACCGATGCCGGATCGTTGGAGGATCAGCGGGGAAGAAAGCGTGCCTCCGGATACGACGATCTGCTTTCGGGCCCTGAAGGTGCGAGTCTTTAGCTGACTGGGGTGAAGCGGCTTGGTTGGCCTTGATACGAATTAGCGGTTTGCGTATAGCTCAACGTTCGATTGGCCTTACACCGTCTGAACAGCTACGGCCCTACCGTTCTCGATGATAATCTTATCTACCTTAGTATTGCAAGCTAGATAGAGGTTGTCATGGACGGCGCGAGTCGAATGAACGTATGCGTGGGCGCTGTCGCTACGTCGGCCGGTCTACATTCACGAACAGTCAGTTGCGAAGCAGAGGTGAATAGGGGCAAGGGCTAAGGGGCAAGGGGTCGTACGTCGCGATTAATCCACTTTAGCCAGTGTTCGGCGCCGTGACCGGTACTCAAGTCTTGCAAATCATCGACGACGGGAATGCCTTGAGATTCTGCTGCCCTAAGGAAGTCCTCCTTCACCGGATACGTGCTTATGGCAGTTAGTTTCTTGAGCATTCGAACTTGAGCTACAGCTGTTAACTTACTAATTGCCGAACGAAACCTTGATCGGTCCTTCGAATCCATGGAGATCCCTTTGGCTATCAGTATCTCTGGATGCCTCTCGATCTTTTTTCTTTTCTTTTTTGCTTACTTGTTATGACAAGCTCGTTGATAGGTCTCGTGTTTCTTCATGAGCGGGAGCAGTTCCTTGGTAGTCCACCCCTTGGCCTGGAAGTCGTCGTAGTCACTAGCTGAAGCGCGCGTGTACATCTACAAAGGTTTAGCGCCGAGTGGCTTGCGCTTAGGGTCTTTCACGTACCAAGAAGTTGATGCTGGAACCTCCTCCCAGGACGTGGGCGCACGGAACTACAGCTTTTCTGCCGGAAAGCCACTTAGATGGGCGAGACTCGTAGAAGGATGCCGTTTTCGAGTCCAGCTTCATGTTCCGGGGGTAGACCCCCGGCCTGAAGATCCATGGGTTGTTGAGGTTATTTTCTCCGGCCTCGATCAGAAGGACTTTAAGATTATGATCCAGATTTGCCAGACTATATGGAATGAGCATATAGGTAAAGCCCTTGCGGGTGGATCTTTGGGAAGACGTACCGACCAGCCACTACACATCCGCAACTCCCGCCGCCGCAAACGATGATGTCGAATTCCTCAGGTAGGGGACTCATGTCTGCTTCTTGTTGTTTTTCATCCCAGCCAAAAATCTTAGAGAACATGTTGGACAACTTCGCTGGAGGGTGACGATTGCGTTCTTATGCTTTCTCAAAAGCCGGGCGAGCAGGATCCAAATATGCGTTAGAAGAGGGGGAACCCCTGCACTTGAATAGCTCGTACGAAGTTGCCAATAGTCCCCCTTCCTACCGTCTAGGCTACGCGTCCAAGCTTGATTACTAGCTATATCCTCCAACAACCCCCCTTTTCCCAATGATTATTCGACATGTTTGCCAACTCATTCCCTGTAGAGGTCATCTGATATTTCGCGATGCAACATCCATGCATAAGTACCAATCGCAAGGAGAAGCTGGTCGGATGGAAGGGGAACGAAATCCAAGAGAGCACTCGCCGGCAGCGTGGGAAGGGTCACATTCGTCCAAGCACAAAACAACCTGGTTCTAGTTACTCTCTGGGCCTCCGGGATACCTTGCATCGGGTTTCTAGTTTAAACTATCCACGTCACATCTCCAACTTGTATATGATGATGGATAGATGTCTAAATCGACATATAAGGAAAGGCTAGACGTGATGCCGCCAACTAGCAGCCAGCGGGCCCTCGGTGAGGCTCGGAGAGTTGTCCTTCGCAGCCTTGTGGTCGTCCTACCCCTGCCTCCTGGCTCTACTGGGCAATTTTGCATATATCTGCATATTCATTGGCCACTAGCAGATGCAGCTAGTATGCAAGACGAACGCATAATGCGGGGTGAAAGCTACCATGAGGTCAAATACCCGACAATCTGTATGCACCCCATGCTTCCCCGCAGTTTTCGATATTATAGTTCGTTTTACTTCGTTGGGTCTATCCGAAGGAAGCACCTCGCATGAGCAGCTTGCACCAATAGTCACCCTGTCGTACCTTAGCGCTCTACGTCGATGTTGTGGCTGACCAACATGGTCAGCGTTTATAGGGTTGGCGGACTCTTGACCTCAGCTTAGGTAGGACTTCCCATTAGCCCCCCGGTTATGAAAATCCTCCAACGGTGACGAGCTCAGCAGGTCAACCTGGCATTAAATCTCCAATATTTATGTTCGTGCGTCTTGTGCCGGACGAGCCGAGAGGTTGCTTGGACGTTGATCGAGGCAAATTCAACCGGTGACAAATAGCTAAGCACTTCAGCTGCCACGACGTCGAACTGCCGACGAAACTTATCGCTAGACGATCCTCCCCGTATTACTTTGGATGCGGAACTCTTCTCTTGTTACATTCGATTGCTGCAATCAGCGAGGGGAAATTGGAGAAAATCACATCTCGCGCTGCAACAAATAACCCGTGATTTTCTTTTCTGGCCAATTCAAACATCGTGCCCTCCACCACTTAAGCTCGAGAGCCAATATCGAGCCCCGGTTATTGTTACGCACGCCTCGAAAGCTCAAGCCGGGACTACACGGCGAGCCTATGAAAGAAAAGACAGCCCGGTTATATTTGACCCTACCCCGTTACCTATAATTACGGATCGTCATCGTGATGAGCCTGCTCGGTAATCTTGTGGAGGATACTTGGCAGTTCCTATCCCCACGATAACCCTTACATCGCCTACTTCGTAAGATTCAGCGTTATGACTGTGGATACCTCTCACGAATTACGCCCTCAGAGTTGTGCTCCCGTAGAACTGATAGCGTCGTTCTCGCAAAACCCTTACGGTTATATGGGCATGTTGATGTTATTGGACAATCCTAAAGTGTTACTATGGAATATACAGTATATAGCCCAGAATGGACGGCGCATATGGTTCGCCCTACGATGCGAATGAGAGAGAGTTCTGCATATTAAGTTACCTAGGCAGCCAATCGGTATAGTATCAAGAACAAGCCCCCACGCCCAGCTAGATATCCGACCACGACCGTATCGCAGCGGCAGCGATAGATCTATCGGCGTCTCGAACCTATGCGAGACATGTATGCATGATAGCTACGTTCTCAGTTTATAGTGATACCTGCCAAGTGTTTCCTCCATTGACGAGCTAGGCAACTCCCCGAATAACAATAACAGGGCGTACATCCATGCTACGTTTACATGGGATGGTGTGCAACTGATCCTCGGGATTATAACGAATATGCAGAGGGCTGTACGGTGACATAGTATCTTGGAGGCTACGCAACTGCCGTTACACTTCGCTTTAATCCGATGCCCATCCACGGGGCAGGATCGAAGACACGTTGCGCTGGGCTCTGGACCTTATCCCCGGTGACATATCATATTTGTTTGCTAATGGCTATACGAATCCGTCCTAGTAATCAAAGGCCTAAGTCTCCTCTCGTCTAGTTGCGTATAGACTATGCATTCGCTTAGGAGAAAGTTCGGTATCGAACAAAAGTCACATTGCCAATGTTAGTTACCTCTTCTACCATCCTTAAACAACGTCGATATATATGACTACGTTACACTAGGCAACGAAGGGCGGAAATTTGAAGTCGTATAGCGTCTAGATAGAGCAAAGATGGTCGAGACGTAAAGATATGCCTACTCGCTGCAACAGTTTGGATGGTAAAGAGTGGGAAACTATTTTTCATTCCAATCCAGTTCACAGCAGGTTGATAGCGGGTTGTAGCAAATAGACCTTTCATACACAGCAGCTAGAGATCCTAGCTCGTTTGCAAGCGGTCCAGCTTTACGATATGCCCGTCTAGCTCACCGGTAGAGCGCCTCACTAGTATTATCTTTAAGCAGCTAACTTTTTAAGGAGTTTTATCTCCAGAGGAACGATACGCGGTAATGAGGAGGCAACAGGTTCGACTCCTGTGATGGGCAATCCTTTTTTTTTCTTTCTTTTTTATTGGGTAGTTTTAGTATTTAAAACTCTGGATAATTTTACCTTTGAATTATTCGAGATTATATTTCTTCTTCCCTTCTCTCCGCTAGGTATAAAATGAATTGGCCAATGATCGACTAGAATCCTTCTGAATCTCTCATCCAATCAAAACCTCGAGCAATTTTCGTCCCTTAAGTCTTCTACTAAAAATTTCTACATCCACGGCAAGATGGCCGAGTTGGTTATGGCGTGAGGTTAAGGTCACCTTAATATCGTTTCCTCATGGAGAAATCCGCGTGGGTTCAAGTCCCACTCTTGTCATTTTTACCTTTTTGTATTTCTTTCTTTTTCACTAGTTAATTTTTTGTTATTTTTTCAACCTGGCCTAGCATGACCACTTGGTATTGGGTAATGTCATGGAACAATAAATTTTTAGAACCATCCTACTTGACCGTACACTTGAACCTAGTGCACGGTCCATGGTTAAAAGCTACCCATATAAGACTAAGACTGCGTGGAGGCCATTTCTCTTTAACTAAAAACGGAGTGTCTAAGGGATGAAATTTTTGGGCTTTCGAAAGCCCACAAGTTGACTTCCAGATTAAGTCGATATACTCGTAAAGAATAGGGGGTTTAACAGTGCCCTGCTAGCTCAATGGTAGAGCACTGAACTTCTATCAGATATTCAGAGGCTGTGGGTTCGAGTCCCACGTAGGGCTTGCCACACATTTGTAGACACCTCACATTTACTGTAAGTGTTTTTTTATTTTTTTATTTTTTAAACAAAAAATCCGTCTCTTTCTTCCGCTTTCTTAGACAACTCTAAATAGAATTTGGAATTTCACTCACGCATGAGAAACTCGCTTAATTACATGAAATGCTTAATATCATCCTTGGCCCATATATTGGGTTATTCTGTTCGGACAAGTCAAGCTGCTTTGGGTACGTATGCTATATCATTAACTATTTACTGGCTATCTTCTTAATCTAATGTCAAACGCGTTTCAGTTCGCTTGGAATTGGTTGTTTCTATTTTCCAAAGCGTATGCGTTATTGCTAATATTGAGAACTTCTAACAGTTCTGACTTTCTTCGTCTGTTATAGACTCCTCGTTCATTCTGATAAATCTAGTGCTTCAATAGTGCGGGTTGTCCGAGAACCAAAGGTGCATTACCTCTTCAGCTTCGGCTATGCTCATTATGTACAGATTGGAGTCCAACGAATCGTAAAAGGTCTCGTCGTTTGGTGCCAACTCCAGATTCGCAGCTTCCACCGGAACAGATTCATACGTTATGACTGGCCCAGTGGGTTCGCGTGGTATAACTCTATACAATTTCACCTGCTCGTCCATGGACGCACGAGTAAGTCGCATATGTAAAAGCTTGGCCATATCAGCATCAAGGCGGCCGTGCAATTCGACGGATTCGAGTTGCCTAAAACTTACGACCGGCAGAACGATCCTGTTAAATGTTGTTAGGATGCACCCTCGTGCTGTCCATACAGGGCGAGGAAAGACGAGGGTGCCGTGGTCGACTGTAATCTTTAATCGACGGATATTAGGGGCTACCTGGGCAAACCACACGAGGCAAAAGAACAGATTGTCACAAGAAGGTCTAATATCATAAATGTAGGTGACATCGAGGGAGCGAAGCCGAGAAGGTTGAAAAATACCGTCGCTTGAAATACGGACAGAGCCAGGGCGGAAATCGGGGTACGTAATGGCAGTGATTTCTGCGTGGGAAGCGCAGAGCATGTCATAAGCTTCGCTGTATGCTCGCTTACAGGTCTTGGGAAGACCATGTGGGTTAGAGAGTGCCGAGGCAACCTCCCGAGGACGGAGGACGCCATTGTACTCATAGCTTGCTGGTGTATCGATGTGGTAATACTCGTAGATTTTATTGCGCAGCTCGCCCGGAAGAGAGAAGAATGGGGACTGCGCTTGATCTAACATCGTGTTGAACATGATGGACTAAGAGGGGTTTGTAGCTGTAGAATGTTGCCAGATACTATAAAGACTGTGAAGCGTTGCAAGGCGTTGTGAAGTCTTGTAAGGCACTGTGAGACGGCTAGAGAAATGCTAACCTCAGAGAAAATATAGGCGACTATATATTACATTAATAACGCTGATGGTATACGAACAATATCGATAGTATGATATCAATGCTTGTTTATGTACAAGATCATTGTGGTGTAGTAGCTATCCGGCCATTGCTAAATACCTCTCCTTGTTGATTCAATGTGATGGTACGAATGTATTGAAACGATCTGTTAAGGGGTTATAATCATACATAATTGTACATGAAATGTACATGAATATGTGTACCCAAGGTAGATGTTAGATAGTTTTAAGACCGTAGTACTTGCACGATCTTGTATGTAAATCGTTGGTTGATATTTTAAGTAAACTCATGGTGGCTAGTAGAGCCGTTTGCCCCACCTACCTGCATGTATTCCTATGTATTGTACCTAGGTAGGCAGGTTAATGGTTCCTGATAGGGCAGGAGTATTAGGTCAAACACCAGGGGTTTTTTTTTATAGGTACCTCTCTAGCGTACCTAAAGTACGGAATTCAGCCTCAGCCGTCAATCGCCAATTCCCCCCTCTGTTGCCTAATCGCATTTTTCCTTCTCTGCTAGGATTTATGTATAAAACAAACCTTTCCGGCCGCATCTGCTCAAGTTAGAAGTTACCCTTCAATCACATCTCTTACAATCAATCTCGCGAACTATGGGCAAACCGGACGGTAAGGTGGCGGACGATGCCGTCTCGCTGCGTACCAACCCCGGCGAGAGTTCTAGAGCGACCTACAGCGACAACGATGATCTCGACATCCCCGAGACTGCTATCGATGACCTACCGCCGAATTATACCGAAAGCGAGTCGTTGCTCCCACCGCCCGACGCGCAGACGGCTGCTCCCGGCAGCGGCTTGGCTATGGCCCAAACACCATTCGTCGAAGACGCTATGCGGTTCAACGACTTGAACACTGGCGCCCAGTACTGGATGGCCAAAAGCCTCGAAAGCCCGGCTAATCTCGAGAGACATATTCGACACCTCGCCGCAATTCCTCCGCGGCCTTATATCAAACTTGTCGGAACGCATATCGAGACTACGAGAGATAGCAAGGGCAAGATGGAGAAGAATACGATTACCGACTTTGACGTTTCTATCGAGCTAACGCCGTATCTCTACTCGGATGCGCAGTATCGCCGTTCGTGGGATTATATCCGGACCGTAGAGAACGGCGAGAAGGTCCGTCGTGGTACTATATTTAGGAAGCGCGCCCCCGGCTCGAATCAGAGCATCGAGGTCGGCGGCGTCCCGAAACCGACGCTACAGGAATGGTGTCATCGGTACTCTGCCAGCCACGCAGGCTTGAAGGTCTTTGCACTCCAACGAAGGATGACCGGCTTTGACGAGGAGCACGTTAAGAGGAAGCTGAGAGAGCTGGTAAACCGCACGAACTACCGCGGCCATCTTAAGGTGGAACTCGTCACGAAGGACTCCCTGATCGAGTGCTACAACGAAGCAAGGATAAACAAGTGGCGTTTGACGACGTGGATACAGATGCTGTTCACGTTCACTCTCCTATTCATCTTTTCCTGGCCGTACCTGTGGCTGCGGACTAAGAGATGGGAGGTTGTCGTCTCCGAGTGGCCGTTCTCGAGGATAGCTGACGACGGCACTAAACAGTACGTGAGTATCAGCGAGGACCAGTGGTTTAATATGTGGGGACGAGCTATATCCAGCGCAGTGCTGCGGAAGCGGCAGGCGCTGCTGGATCAGACGGATCTGAGGCGGGCAGAAGAGCCCGAACCGACCTTCGAGTCCGGAAACTCGACGGTCGACGGGGCAGTGGGCCTGTTCAGGGCCGGCATCAGCGCTATGGACGAGGTGAACCGTCATTTAGGATGGGGAGGAGACTGCTAGGAGCATTCTCCTGTAGCACGTCATTGTTGGGGTTGTCCACGGGAATGCTTTATTTATGGGAGCGCCTTTTTTGTGTTTGGGTTTCTTCTGAGCTATGCAAGTTTGTGGGTGAAGGTTACCATTATTAGCGTACTTCTTGGGACAAGGTGTGTGAAGGTATTGGGGAGTTGCTGATGCTACATAAGGCGCGTAATGAATACCGAGACCATTTCCCTGAAATGGAAATAAGCGGGACGGTTGTATGTCACCTATTCTCTCCTGTATACTGTTTTGTTACCTGCCTTGCTATGAAATGTACCGAATGAAGCTATATCTAGACGCCGTATGTATTGGTAAGTCGTCGTCTTCCTTACTGATGATTTCTAAAACGTAGGGACGATAGCCCTGGATATACCTGAATATGAAAGGAGTTCTCCCACGCAGGTTTCTTTTTATACAGCACCGCAGATGAATCATTACCTATATAAACATCTACGTTATACTCGCTTCGATATGGCACCTATTCGTGTTGCACTCATCGGCCTCTCCTCGTCGGCGAGGACCTCCTGGGTCGCCCACTGTCATTTGCCTTTATCACCCCCGGCGAAATCTTACTATGGGATTGTTGCGCTCCTTAACTCGAGCGTTGCGTCGGCAGAAGCAGCGAGAAAACACTTTTCGCTTCCTTCGGATGTGAGGACTTATGGCGACCCAAATGACTTGGCCTTAGATCCTGATGTCGACTTTGTCGTCTGTTGCACTCGAGCTGACACTCATAGCTTGACGACGGAGCCATCTTTGCGAGCCCGAAAATCTGACAATATAGAGTGGCCCATCGTAGAGAATTGCGAGAGGCCGTTGCTTTGATGGTTAACAAAAGACTACCTAGACAATAGTATCACTGGGCTTCAGGGGGTCTCGCCTATAGTTCTCAAACTCAGAGCGATATTCGTGCCTACGGTAATCTCTTACCTAGAGACTCGCTCTTTCGTATTTCACAAACCGGAACATTGGGGCAACCCCATCACCATTGCTTTTGGGCACACTATCGACTACATGCACGAAGTTCTCGGGGAGTTTGCCTCGTTTAAAAGTCTAATGCAGATACAGCGGCCAGTCGTCGCAGTTCTTGGTAAGAATGGAACTCGAATCAAGAAGATAGAAAGCGACGTACCTGATTTTCTGGCTGTTCATAGGAAGCTAGCCAAGGGGAAGGATTGGCCTCGATTACACGATACCGTCGCGAGAATGAAGGAGATAGATGAGGTCTTTAAATGGTATGACGCGCAAGATGCGTAACTACATTAATAAGTTGACCGTCCATGTCTCTAGATACATCCTCACTACCTAAGTTTCCATATCTGCGATCACAAGTGTAGGCAACGATTGAAAGCGATCGGTTTCGCTTATGAGTTTTTAATCGCCCTTAATTTACGTAATTGATTGTAGGTAGTTCAACTAGGTTGCTGATTTCGTATACCGAATTGATATACCTTCGTAAACCTCGGCTTGAAGTTTCCCTTATGAATGCCCTTGCATTAATAGATACCGATCAAGTTCAGCACGACTAGGTCTTGTAAAGGTAAAATTGCTAAACGCGCTTAGCTTATGCTTTAACTCTTATCTGTGACCTGGTAATATAGAGATACGAAATATCATTGCCACCAATGCGTATGATAGGCACTAACCCTAACTTACAACTTCTAAACGGGTGTAAATATCTGCATGGATTTAAGGCCGAGAAAAGCGGGACTGAACGGCATCGGCCCCGGTACCATCGGGGTTTAATGCGGGAACATATGTAATACATGTATATGATTGGTTCAAAAGCCGTTTAAGACGAGCCGGTCATTTGGTACGCGTAGATCATTTAGACCGAGATTTCCTAGAATGGATTGGCAAACTATTTTGGATAATTAAATTGTGGACCGCTCATAGGTAAGCATTATGAATTGGTTAGGTATTTGACTTGGGCGCTTCTAGTTACTAGACCATCTCTACGTCGAGCTTATCGCATTGATTTCTTGTAAGTCTATCTGGTAATGTATCTACGCGGGAGGTAATTCGGGATCTCTTATCTTTTATCTCAAGTAACACAAACTACAGGGATATCTATGAGGAACGCGGAGGCCCCGTCAGTCGCGTGGGGCGTTAACCGGGTGGAGGCAGGTGAAAGATATGTTATCTAAATATTTGCAGGGATTAATTAGAAAGCCTAGTCCGATCTAATCTGCTGAAGCGCAGGCGAACTTTCAGGTGTGATGTCAGTCCGCATAAATTTTCACTTTCTCTACCAGCCTAACCTACCCAAGTATGTAATCAGCCGTAATATTTTCTTGCTACTCGTTCCTATTCTTTCCTCTTTATCGTCATTCTATTCTTCGTTCAAAACCTATCGTTCAACTTAAAAGGAAATACCAATCGATATTGCCATTATCGCATGGACGTTATTATACAGATGGAGACTTAGTTAGCATATAATTTTTATACTCTTTATAACCGCCGTGGCATTTATCAAGCGCCACTTGTTTACTTGATCGCGTGCTCAAGTCGAAGTATTAGATGATGATGGCAGATCGCGACGTGAAAAAACCGGTCAGCACCGCAGGCGATGCGGTCGGCGACGAAGCCGATGTGGGATCGGCCGACCAGGTGCTCGTGTCCCTCGGTTACACTCCCGAGATGTCGCGGAATCGGTCCACCCTTCAGGTTGCTTTCATGTCTTTCGTCCTGGCATCGATCCCGTACGGTTTAGCTACGACTCTCTATTACCCTCTGGTCGGAGGCGGACCGGTCAACATCATCTGGGGATGGGTTGCCGTGTCGTTGATTATTATTTGCGTTGCCGCATCGCTCGGCGAAATCACGAGCGTATATCCAACCGCCGGTGGTGTCTATTACCAGACGTTCATGCTGGCACCTCCTCGCTGGCGTCGCATCGCTTCTTGGACCTGTGGTTGGCTTTACGTGGTCGGAAATGTTACGATTACCTTAGCCGTCAACTTCGGCACGACGTTATTTTTGGTCGGATGCGTCAACGTGTTCGAGACCGCGGACGGTCAAGCTCTGCTCGCCGGCGAATCCTACCAAGTCTTCCTTATCTTCCTAGCCATCACGCTACTTTGCAATGCCGTCTCGTCGCTAGGCAATAAGTGGCTACCTATCCTCGACGTACGGATTTTCTGTTTCTCTCTCCTCTCATCGACGCTCGGCTGATGCTGACATTTGATTTTTAGACCTTTGCGATCTTCTGGACCTTTGCCGGTGTTATCGCTATCATGGCCTGCGTCTTGGCTATCGCCAAGGAAGGTCGCCACGATGCCAGTTGGGTATTTACGCATTTCGAGGCTAACTCTGGCTGGACGCCCGGTTGGTCTTTCGTCGTCGGTCTCTTACATGCCGCCTATGCTACCTCTTCTACCGGCATGATCATCTCGTAAGCATCTAAAACTCATCTCGCTTGGTTCCATCATCCTTACAAAACTACAGTATGTGCGAAGAGGTCCGAGCGCCGGCCACGCAGGTACCCAAGGCCATGGTATTGACGGTATGCCTCAACACCGTAGCTGGGTTGATGTTTATGATACCGTTAGTGTTCGTTCTTCCCGATATCGAAGGACTTATCGTGCTCGCGCAACCCGTCCCGGCGATTATCAAGAGCGCCGTAGGAAACTCGGGGGGCGCATTCGGTCTGCTAATTCCTCTCCTCGTTTTGGCGCTCATGTGCGGCATCGGCTGCACGACTGCTGCGTCGCGCTGCGTCTACGCATTTGCTCGCGACGGCGCCATTCCCGGCTCAAAGTGGTGGAAGCAGATTAACCATAAACTCGACGACGTTCCCTTGAACGCGATGATGCTCAGCATGGCCGTGCAAATTATTCTGGGCCTCATCTACTTCGGCTCGTCGGCTGCTTTCAATGCTTTCTCGGGCGTCGGAGTTATTGCGCTGACGACGTCTTATGCTACGCCAATCGTTGTCAGCATGCTCAACGGACGCCAGGCCGTCCGCACCGGCAGCTTCTACCTAGGTCCGATCGGATGGTTTTGCAATATCGTGTCTCTATGTAAGTCTCGCCTGCCCGATCGTGCCGAGCTTCGCGCCGGCCGTCGTCTCACGGGCTAATAAAAGCATAGGCTGGTCTCTACTGGCCATTCCGTTATTCTGTATGCCAACTACCGTTCCGGTGACGGATCCTTCTCTTATGAACTACGCTTCGGTGGTCTTCGTAGGATTTACGGCAATTTCGGCTGGATGGTATGTCGCCTGGGGCCGTAAGAACTATTCCGGCCCTCCGACGTGATTTTTCGAACTGTTAGATATAGACCGTGGGATCGTCCGCCTCGTGCGCATCTCCATCTGCCCGCGCCTTGCCGCCCTGTACTCGCTGTTTAGATGTGATACCCAAGAGAGTGAAAGATTGCGATCAATATCGTGTGCGGACAAGAGTTGTGATAAATATTAATGGCGATAGTTCACGAGCCGATACGCCATACGAGCTCCGGCGAGTACAACCACGCTATATTATATACGTAGATATTATTAACGCCAAATTCTAATACAACTCGGCAATGTGTTTACTCGGTGTCAATTCGATTTACCTTAGCATGCCTCCTCGTCGAAGCAAGCTTGCTGATTCCTTTCTATCTTAGATCAGCTACACTGTGAATAGTAATCGTTGAGCTTTTGGCATTTTCCGCTCTGGAGAGTAGGTAGTCAGTTGCGTTTGATAATACAGAAGTTTAGCGGGGAGAATCTTGACTTACACTGCAGTTGGTACAGCCGGTGAATCCGCTTCCTCCGCATTGACCGTATAGAGACACGCCGCATCCCGACCCGGAATCGCCCGTGTTTGCTGGTGGAGCGGCCGTGTTTGTCGCGCTCGCGGTAGGAGCACTACCTCCATTGCCGCCAGCCGTGCTCGACGGGCCCTTTCCGGCGGCGCACGTGCTCGCGCAGCCGGAGCATGAAGAGCCTGCGCCCTTTGTCGAGCCGCCCGCGTAGACCGTCGGGCCGGGCGCAACATACGAATCTAACTTCCCGTGGATATTGACGAGAATACCGGGATCGCTTGCCTTATAGGCACCAGGCAGCGAGACACCCGCGGGCTTGGCGCCGCCGCCGCCCGTGACGGTCAGCTGGAAGCACGTCATGTAAAACTGCGCGCCGCCGCTTTGACCCGCCGTGTGTAGAGCCAAGGCTTCGGCCCGCAGGAGGTAATCACCAGCAGCTATATCGGATGGGATCTTCACATCCATCCGGCCGCAACACTCGTTGATATCTTTGGTCCCCCACAGATCGTCATCAGCGCTTGCTCCCGACGGGTTCTTGGCCCACGTGTCGGCGAAGACCTTGAACCATGACGAGGAGGACCCGTCGGCCGTCGAGGCATCAGCTACGGAGGCCATGTATACTTGGACTGGTCCGTAGTGGGCGCCACCGATCGCTTCCGTTGCGCAAGTACGGTCTCCGGGTTGCTAACCAGACGTGTTAGCTGGCATATAAAATAAAACATACGAAATATGAAGGTATACATACCTGATGAATCTCTACTGTCACTGTCGATCCTGCGGTGACGCTGCATTTTCCGGATGCGGGCTTAGTACCGGCATTGCAGGCGATGTCCTTCGACGCTACGTCCGTCACCGGGGAATTAGACAGCGGTAATCTAGCACACGAGGCCCCGTGAGAGACGTGTTAGTAACTGGAGAAACTCGTCATTAGGATATACTTATCATATCAACGCCGTTTATCCAGAGGTCCTGGAAGGTGGCATGGCCGGCGACGGGTATAGCGCCCAAGGCGGCCACGGTAGCTAATAGTGTCGATCTCATAATGAACTTATCGTTTAGCCGTAAGACGTGCGTAGATTCCTATCACGCAATTTGAGGCTAAGGGCGGGCCGTTTGCAGATCGTGGGGATTACATCTTAAAAATAATAGTAGCCTCCCTACTTCATCCCCCAATTTATATCGACGTGGCTTACAAACCCGCCCACCGCTTAACACCCTACTTCGCAGCAGAAAAGTTCTAGTCTCGGACTACACATCGTCTCTTTCCGCAGCGCTCGTTTTGGCCGTCCCATGTGACCCCCCTCCCGGACTTGGTAGACCGGCTTCCCTAGCTCGCCCCGAATAACAGCTGAAACCCCCGCAAGACATGAGGTAATGCTGCAACCTGCGCCAAGGCCGAGCCGCCCAATATGGAAATCTGGAGATTGATTCCGTTCCCATTTCGAATACCACCGCGCCGCCCCGACACCCACCAATCGCGTCGCCGGGAAGCTCCGTCGGGTCAGACAAGCTTTTTTCTCACAGCATCTCGACCTTCCGCTTAGGTGCCACCCATAAAAACCGGGTTGGGTCTATCGCTCCGTTATCTTGTCAAACTGCACCGCATGAACTAAGCACGAGTCGTCTTTTCGGTATGGGGATCCGGAGACTCGCTTGCGGAATTTGGACGGGGGGTTGGTTATGGTTGTAACTGTCGTGCTCTGACCCTCTTTCGCCAATTTGGTGGTGTAAGTAGCCGAGCCATAGGTCACTAGGTTAAAGATGGGATATTATAGAACATATATTGTGCATGGTTGATTTGATTTGGATATGTCCTTTTGAACTTACCACCTCCTAAGCAACATAAGCCTGCTATTCTCGTCCAACCTCCAAGTACCACCAGCAGTCACGCGTTTAATTTGGGAGTAAGACTTTATATCACGATGGTTTTTGATCTACTAGAAGCTTCAAGGTCTGAGAATGGAGATTTGTATAATAGGCTAGCAACTCGGTAGACTAAGTAGACGAAGTAGCTATGGACTCCGGCGTATCCACCAACTCGGTGCCTTTATTGCCAGCCCTAACATTAATAATATTTGCCCCGACACCACCGCCGGCGTCGCTTTCCTCCTCGGCGAGCTTGACGAGGTTTGAGCTATGCGTAATAACTAAGACGTACGATAGCCTTTCCGCCATCCAGCGGCACCATTTAAGCACGGAAGCTTGGCCGCTTACATCTAAGGAGTCAAAGGCTTCGTCGACAAGCATATACCTCGCCATGTGGGGACTTCTGGCCCCTGCCATCATAGACAGCGCGAAGAACAGCGCCAGATCTACGCGTTTGCGTTCGCCACCACTTCGCTTTGCGTAATCAAGTGCCTGGTTCATCGACAGAGACGGCTCAAGCACTGATGTAGACCCCCGATTACCATCGCGGTCGTCACCATCGCGGTATTCTTCCTTGAAGAGTGCTCCGATGGTGCCAGAAGTCATATTGCGCGAGTAGTTTGCGTCCTGGTACATGACTAACAGGATCTGTCCTAGAAGTTTGTTCAGCTCCCCTAGGTGTCGCTCGGTGACGTGATGCCGAAACGTAGCCTTTGCTACCTGCCGTCGCGTAAAAGCAGACTGCCAAAAGGCAAATATTTCCCTGTGCGAGTATATTTCTGCAGCCTCTTTCCTTAGGTCGGCTGCTTGGCGGACCAGGTCAAAAAGGGATTCGGCATCCGATTGGAGGTGTCCTTTGTAGGTGGTAATTTCTTTCTCTTTGCCAGCGAGCATCATATGGTACCGATCCAACGACACTTGCCATTTTTGTCTCGTCGCATCAATGTCCTTTTCTCGTCCGTCTAGATCCTGCTGTTTGCGAAGTCGCTTCTGCTTTTGGTTTTCATACTGCTGCTGGAGATGATCGTATTCTCTTGTCGCACGCTGTAGCTCATCAATGGCGGCACCTAACTGAGTGGGAATGAGCAATGCTCGCTGTACCGTTATGCTCATGATATCCCGTTGGGAAGTATCGCTGGAGAAATTTGATACAACGTCCGTTATAGTCGCAATCTTGATTTGTGCTTCCCCGACGGTGTCGTTGACGGCAACGATTGCCCTCATGTGGTTGTGCCACCGCTGCGCTTTCATGACGTTATGAGTATTTCGCAAGTATATAAATCTAACCACAGACGTCCAGATATTCCGAAATATGATCATGATACTCGGTAGAAAGCCTTGCCTGCTGCGCTCCGCTTTGTCGCGGTTCTCGTCGGCGGATGGAGGTGGAATCTCTAATATTTCGTTATCTTCCAGCAGACGTTCGACTGTTCTTTCGAAATCATCCAATTGCGCACCAGTGGCTACTATGTCCTGCTTGATAGCTGCTCCCTTACGATCTATTGACAGACGAGCCTGCGCAAGCTTTGCTAATGCACCAAGTTCCCCTACTTCGCCGTGTGCTCTAGAAACGCCCCTTTGAAGCTCCGAAAGCTCAGGCTCTAGATTCGGCAATTGCTCACTCTCAAGTTCCTCCCTAAGCTCTTTTATCCCGAGCTCTTTCGCGTTCAGGGATGAGAAGTATTTTTGGTCTTCGCGTTGCAGCTGGTCGATGATATTCTCGGCTTCGCCAAATAAACGTTTCAGCGTCTTAACCATCTGGGAAACCCGACCTTTGAGATGCGTGATCGTATGGGTAACCTCGTTGAGCCGCGACTGCTTTACGCCTAGCTCCTCGTCTACCTGGCTCACCATCGAATTGCAAGTTTCTGCACACCCATCCAGGATCCCTAAACCCAAAGCAGCTTCGATCAACTGCCTCTTCTGCAGCTGCGAGGCGCTCAAGAAGCTCTGAGTGCTTTCGTTGCCTAGAAGAACCGTCCTGATGAACGTGTCGAAGTCTACGCCCAGCAACCCGTTGATAGACGCCTGAGAACTTCTGGCGCCGGGTCCTTCAAACTCGGGTTGTACGATACCGTCCTTTTCCACAATCACGCGATTCTGAAACTCGCTATGCTTCCTGAACCGCGAAATCGAATACCCGTTGGCAAATGTAAGACGGACGTTGCAGTTCTTCCCGACGACGTCGTTGACAACGTCGTTCACCCCAAGCCCGTCCCTGATGCACTGTCCAAATTGGCACCACACGATCGCCTCGATGATTGTCGTCTTACCCGCGCCATTTTTTCCGATTATGAAGTTCATACCAGGTCGAAAGTGACGCTCAAATTGAAGCTCGAGAGAGCCCTGGACGCCGAGGAAGTTTGTGATTTCGATAGAAATAGGGCGTGCGATAAAGATGCGTGCAGGTTCGTTCGTTGGAACAGCCAGGGAGGTGGACAAGTTGAGAATATCCCTATACTTGATCGTATCGTTGACCTTGTCGCGAACAGAACTCCCGACGTTCACGAGTCGCTTTCCTACGGCGGCTAATAACTCCCGCTTGCTCTCAAGAGCAGATCCGAGACTTAGAGAAGACACGTATTCGTCGGCAACTTCACCAAGGTCGGTCGGCTCGCGCTCTATTTGTTCGGCTATCGGTCTTGGCGAAGCAATGGCCGCGCGATCAATGGAATCGGAAGATTTGGTGTCCCCCGTTTCATTTGACAATTTCTCGATCCCTATATTCGGCAGGTTTTGAATATCAGCAGGAAGCATAGTCTTGCCGAGACCGGTCTTCTGAGATTGCCACGCCGGCTCAAGAGGCTTCCAGTCTCTTACGCTGCGCGCTCCTAATTTAACTAGAATTTCTCTAGCTGAGACGTATTTGTATCTTGATAAATTCCCGGTAATCATGACATGTTTATCGCGGATTTGTTCTTTGTCCATCTCACCCGAGAGTATGTCTTGGATGTCCATCGACACGTAACCGACCGCGTGAGGGTTACAGATCAAGTCGGTCTGCAGAGTCTCGGGATTGAGCAAGATGGCCCCCTTCTCGGTGTCAAACAGATCTGCCCACGTAAGCTGCAACGGGGCCCCAATATACGTTATGCTTCCACGGAGATCCTGGTCCTGTTGGCTCGTAGCTTGGAGAATCGTCTGGTGGCTGTGGAAGTGGCCAGTAAAGGTCCTCGCCAACGGCGCGAAACCACCCACACCAGTAAGGCCGGGATATCTTACGGAAAACCCGGGCTTTCCGGTCTCCGAGTTGACGGTGTATTTCTGGGTTATAGCCCGGTTTATAGCCAGGTGTCCGAACCCAACGGTCTGAGCGGCGCTCTTCGGGTCCAAGTTACGTATCTCCTTGACAATTTGGCTCTGGTCTTCGCGGAACGGCATCACAAATACCCGTCGGCCATCCCATTCGTGACATCCTGATTGCGTATGGAGCGTTACGAAGGGGGCTAGCCGACTAATAGAAAGCGCCTCCAAGGCCGAAGTGGTGTAATCGAAGCGGTAAGCCAAATCATGATTTCCTAGGATGATATCGACATGCGGCACGGCTTCTACCAGCTTGCTTAAAAAGCGGTAGCATGCCGAAAGGACGTGAGTCGGCTGCGAAGTACGCGTCGTGAGCAGGTCACCGCAGATGATTGCGCGACAAATGTTGGTACGAGACTTGGGAAGGGAGGCAATCCAGTTTGAAGTTCGTATGACTCTATCAAGATCACGTGATCCGAAATGAATATCGCTAAGTAGTAACCATGAGGGCTTAGCATTCATACTTTGTATAGTAGGTCAAACAGTAGAATCCCATCAGAGAAGATCAGGGTCGGAATTAAGCTTAGGATACTCGGAATTGTACTGCTCGTGCTGTCTATGTACCTAACCTAGGTATGTACGCAAGCTCGTCGCATTCTAACGGGTGCTTAGGTACGCTTTAATTAAGGATTGGTCCTATAGTTGGGGATTGATCCGAAGTACTTCCGAATAGGAGGGCTTCCCATATATCTTAGATGTATTTTCCAACTTTCATCCATTTTCACATTATCTTCATAATTTCTTTTTTCAGGATTTTAATAAAAATGGAAATAGCGTCTTATTTTTTACCTTTATAACGCTATCCCCAATTATAGGGCTAATCCTTAATCAAAGCGCAGTACTCGTTCGGGTACGACGAGCTTGCGTAGACAGCACGAGTACTCGAAAATGAGTCGAGATATTGGGTCGATTAAAAACTGGAATAGTTCTTATCGATTGGTCCATCCTCTTATCCTCACTATGCAAACGTCAGTATTTCTCGGATTGACTAAACTTTCATCTCTCTTCAATAAACATATCGACTAATGGTTACTTGATCGCCATAACGTTGAATGCCCGAATAACCCCTTTCCCAAGGCAATAAACCAGTTGTACAGGTTTTGTCACTGGGCGGATCTGTTAAATACTTGACGTCGCGCTTTGTTCATCCCCCCAGCCCTGGCTTAATCTAATTCCGATAAGCTCGAGCTAGGATTATGACTGATTTCCATAAGAGCTTGGTAATAACATATACTGGCACTTCGGCATATACTCTCGCAGTCTATATAAAACCGGAATCTGGGGAATTACCCCGCATTGACGAGTAGCGCGCCCACATATTCAACCTACAATAGTGAAGAGGCAGATCGTGTCTGCATTGTGGGGTAGTATGGGGAGTTCGAGTGATAATGCAGAGAAATCGGCTATCTATCTCTATCGCTGCAGAGGGAGGAGACTTCATGGTATGATGTTTGATAGCTGGCCGCATTGCTTTATAAAGAGGGCGTAGTGTAACTAGATTGGGTCTTTCAATATGTCTCAACCGACCACAAAGAACCCCCTTAACAATATATTGAACTGGAGAAGATGGAAAAAGTCGAGCCTCCACAATACCTCGAGGCCAATACCGAAAAGGTTAGTCAAGTTGAGCTTATAATGATTAGGGTCAACTAACTCGATACTAACATGCAGGGGAAAGCCGACAAGTCTCTCCAAGAGACCAATAATGGAGGGTTTGATCACAACCGCAGCAGGCTCTTAAACCGACGCCTCGACATCCGGATACTCCCGCTATGTTGCTGGTTATATCTACTCAACTTCTTAGACAGGGGAAATATAGGTAATGCGAGGGTATTGAATCAAGAGACCGGAGATGATCTTCTTCACAAGACAGGGACGTCAAGTAACGGGTATGCTCTTACCGTGACCTTATTTTCTGTGGCATATACCCTGTTCGAAGTGCCCTCCAACTGGGTTATGAAACATTATGTAGCTCCCTCTAGGTGGCTAGCGATGCTGCTGGGTAGCTGGGGACTGTTGACTTTGGGGTTTGCTTTTGTTAGGAATTATGCCACGGTTTTAGCATTGCGCTTGCTCATCGGCGTAGTAAGTACACGATCCTATGACGAATAACAATTCGAGACGGAAACAGCTTGGTTGCTGATCCGACATAGTTCGAGGCCGGCTTCTTCCCCGGCATTGTTTACCTTATAACAATCTGGTATCGCCATAACGAGCGAGCTGTTAGGATAGCTTTTGTCATCGCCTTTTGCAACCTGGCTGGAGCATTCGGGGGAGCTATTGCCTACGGTATGGGTACCATAAATGGCGCAGCTGGAGTAGAAGGGTTTCGCTGGCTCTTCATAGTTGAGGGCATCATCACTATTCTAAGCGTGCTGCCGACACTGCTGTTCTTACCAGACTACCCAGCCCGTGCCAAGTTTCTCAGCGCGGAGGAGAAGAGTTTTGCAGAAGATCGCCTTAAAGATCGAGGCGGCGGGTGGAATAGAGAGCATGCTACGCGGAAGGAGGTCTTGGAGACGTTTTTCAGTCCACGAATGCTAGCTCACTACCTTGCCTACGTGGCTAACGTAGTGACCCAAGGCTCATTCACATTTTTCGCTCCGACTATCGTCTCCGGCCTGGGATATCAGAGTATCCACGCCCAGCTAATGACAGTCCCACCGGTATGTCCTTTGAAGTTGTGCTTTCTATTCTTGCCCCGTAGGATTCAAACTTTGATGGAATTTTCTACTATGACTATCCACCTGCATTCCTATTAGTAGAGACGCACCAGTTATTTTGACGTCTTTCGACGCCAAGCAAGATCTGGAATAAAACAGTCGAAAAGATAGGATAGGTACGCGAGTTCTTCAAGCTAACATCTCGTCTTCATCTAGTGGGTTGTCGGGTTCGCGGTAGCCATCGCCCTTTCTTACTCTGCTGATCGGTTCGAAGCCCGCGGCTTTCATATCACCGTAATTTCAACGATCGGCGGCTTAGGCTGGCTCATAGCTGGATTGCTACCGCCGACCGCGTATGTAAAACGATACGGCTGCCTCTGCATGGCAGCAGCCGGAGCCTTCCCGGCGGCGCCGTCGATGACGAACTGGGTAACATGCAACACGCCGAGCTTATTGACAATCCCATTCGCAATCGCCCTGCATAATTCATGCGCTGGAATAGGTCAGATTATCTCACAGTGGATATGGAAAGTAGATGAAGCAAAGCTGGGGTATCCCACCGGAAATTTCGTATGCGCAGCGTGTAACTTTTTCGTGGCGATAATAGCGCTTTGCTTAAGGCTGTACTATTCGAGAATGAACAGGAAAGGGGTGAAAGATGCACGGGGAGAGACGAGAGTCTGGGCTTACTAATTGCTGTAAATGAACGACTTAAAGACGACGAGAGATGATGATCTTTATGGGAAGTTTTGGGTACCAGCGAGAGGAAACAAGTCGATATGTACTTTGTCATGATTTTGATTTTACTTTTGGCATGTAATGACCGCCTTACTGCGAAAAAGAGACATGATTTGCTGGTTATCATCAACTGCTATTAAATACCTAAGCTAAGTACCTAAAGCTTTCTGGAGACCTCTCAGAAACGCCCTTCGTTTTTATAGGGTTAATTTCTACTATTTTGCCGTTATGCTCTGGGTAGGAGGCCCTGAAAATGCGCTCGATATCTAAGAGAAACCCATCAAAATATCTCCATTACGCGCAAGTATCTCCTCTCAAGCGAATATTAAGGAACGGAGAACTCAATGAATACCCAAGTATTGACCAAGGCTAGTCATAGCTTGAGGCATTTCAGGATAGGAGATAATACGTAAATGGAGAATCGAAATGATCAGTATTGATTTAAGAAATTTTTTCGCTAATTGGTCTCTATTGCGTTTTTCCTTTTCCTCCCAGTTTTGCCGCTAAGCCTCTCTTTTCAGGGGCTTTTCTCAGGCAGACTGGTTAGGCATTCCGATTAACGAGAGCTGTCTAATTGGTGACCGTGACAATGATCCTGTTGGAAGAGAAAACATAGCCCCGCTCCAGCCTCTTCAACGATATACCTTTTCACTCATATGAATTCGGCTCAGCCCAAAATGAGTTAGATTGGATTTATCCTCTCGCGAACATACATGTATGTGTATAACTCTATCACCAGCTTGCATTTTACCTATATCATTTCAGAATACCCGTTGAGCCTCTGTCTTAGGCTTTATCAGTGGTTCTACGTCTAGGCTTCAATGTATAAAGCCTTAGTGTTGGCCGGCAGGCTGAAGCCTGATGCTAGACTGGGGCTCGCACTATGCGAATTTACTACCACACTCGACGAAGAAAGTCGTAGAATATTCGTTAAGATGCGGTCTAGTCCATCTGCAGTACCAACTGCTTCAGATGTGATAAGAGTTACCGAGGAGTTGAACAGAGAATGGGCTAAGCGTCATAGAGCCTGGAGGCTACTCGGGACGAGACTAAAGAATTTCTTGAGCCGAATCCAATCAATTGCCAGCATTGGAGATGTACTGGTGGGCGGTTCGCAGAATATTCTGGTATGTGGTGTTTGGTGCGCTCTGAGGATTTGTCTCGAGGTAAGCTAGCCTAACGTCGGCCAGAAATATCGACTCCTCCTATTACTATCTCCTCATCAAGCAAGCTATGAAAATTTATGGCGATGGCAGCGACGGAAGGGATCGTGTTTCTGGATTTTCGGGACGAAATAATACTCAGCCTGGCGTAGCCGAGATACTTCGTGCGTTTTGTGGCTAAATGGCAGCATGGGCAGCGGAAAAACCGTTACATTAGCGAACATCGTGGCTGATATTCACTTACGACAACCGTGCCTTTATTTCTTCTGCGTATCAAAGGAACCGGAGTCTCTGAGCTTTAGGGGCTTCTTGGGAAGTATTACTTACTAACTACTAAGAAACATCCCCTTTGACGATCCATTCTGGAGTTTTGACACGGATGAAGCCACATCAAAGCTAGCAACACTCGAGGGGATCACCAACCTTCTCTTCCAAGCCACATCTAAGGATGAGGGATTCTTTTTGGTAGTGGATGGCATTGAGAATTGCAACAGCGACGATTCCGATGATATCATTAAGTTCCTCTGATCTGATGCAGGAAAGAAAAGCCTTTCTGTGCTCATCAGGTAATCCTGGGTCCAAAATCCAGGCAAAGCTATTTTCCAATATCAATAACTCCGCGCAAATCCCTACCACATTGAACAATCAAAGTCGGCATAAGGAGATTGAAGATTTTATTGACCGAGGAATTGAGGGACGAACTTTGTCGCAACCTCTAGATCCAGACTTAAAGATACTTATAAGAGAGCAGTTGTTATAGGGGGCTCAAGGAATGTATCTTTGGGTAGCCTTGCAAATCGAGGCAATACTGAACTGGTGTGGTGCCACATCGCCAAGAGTAAGGGTATTATTATGTAATCTTAGGTCACAGGCCATATAAAGGTCTAATATTTGTTGTATTCTTCTGATCAGATAGCCACAATCATCATCATTCAGTTATGCATCCAATATAGACACATTCGTTACTGAACTGGTGCTGGTGTATCAGGTGACCTTGACCCTGATCATGTGATTATATTTTTAGTATAAGTACTATTTATGGTCGCACACATCTATTTTACATAGTATTATCCACTTTTAATACAAGTCATTCCTTTTCCTTCATCAGTACCATCATCTAAAAGTCCTTGATATCAGGTCTGCTAGGGCTTGATCCAAGGCCAAGACGTTTAAGTCTTGTTCATTACTTTCCCATATTCATAACTTATGGCTTTATCTTGCGCATTTATCTTATATATCCTATCCGATCAATAACTGTTGGTTCCACCTTTTAGCATATACTTACTTTATAAAACATTAAATTAAGCCAACCACCGATATACCCTTTATATAATTTTAGCCATTATAACATTAAATAATATTTAAATAATAAAAATGATTATTTATATAAAAAACCGAGAAGATTATATTTATTAAGTTATAATTAAAGTGCGGGCTGGGGTTATATTACGTTATATAACGATTTTATATAATATATCCGCGTTTACGTTATTTTAACGGCTTAAAAAAACAAAAAACCATTATATAAACGCGATAAATCTTTAAATTTTACGTTTAAAGTAAAAGTAAAAGGTTGTTAATTAAATAATTTTTAAAAATCGTTATAATAAATTTTTTTAAAAGCGTTTTATAACCGCGTTTACAAAAGGTATATTATAAGTTAAAAATATTATAAAAAAAACCAAAATATTAATTTAATCTTTAATAATATAATAATTAAATTAATATATTATTATAACTTTTATTTTTTTATTAACCGTATAAAATAATAACATTATAATATAATTATAAAACATAATATAAATTTATATATAATTAAATATAAACTTTAATTAAATAATTATAATAAAATTACCAAAAAAACTAATACATATATTTTTAAAAAAAACCGTTGTAAAAAAGATTAAATATAGGTAATAATTAAATAAGGATTAAGTATACATTAATAAGCGTACGGTAAAGGAAAAAAGAATATATAATATTAAAATAAGGCTATTATAATTTATTATTACTTGTTATTAAGTTATATGTGTGTGGGTTAATTTAAAAGGTAAATTTTTTTAAGCTTAACCTTATGTACGTTATAATACGTAATTAAATTATATAATTGGTTATTCTTTATATTTTAACAACCGTAATAATTATAATTAAATCTTTATATAAAATCTTAAAAATAAATATATATTAATAATTTATATATTTTAAATATTATAAAAAAAAACTTTTTATAATTATATTTACATATAACTTATACTTATTAATTTTAAATACAATAAAACCATTTAAATTTATTATAATATAAATAAATAATATTTTAAAAATATTTAATAAAATATTTAATAAACTTAAAAATAAAAAACTTTAAAAAATAAAATTTATAATAAAACTTAAAACGTACTTTATAAATATAAAAATATTAATATTTAACAAATATATAATATTAAAAAACTTAAAAAAAAACGTTTACTTATAATAAAAAAACTAAAGTAAAAAAATTAAAATCGTTAAAATTAACACAAAAAATATACCATAATAATACATATAATAAAAAATCCATAATATATATATTATTATAATATATTAACCAAAAACTATATTTAATATATTAAAAATAACCTAATATTAAAAATTTAAAAAAAATAAAATTATTAAACTTAATAAAAAATTATAATAACAATTAAATAATTTTTAATAAAACTTTTAATATATTTCATTAAACTTTATAACAATTAAAATATTTAATTTTATAAATAAATTATTTACAAATAATAAAAACTTAAACTTTTAAATTAATTATAAAATATTTATTATTAATAAAACCGTTAATAATAAAATTTTTATAATAAAAAATAACTTAATTTATTAAAACTTAACAAAATATAAATAAATTATAAAAAACATTGAACAAGAATTGGTATCTTTTATAAAGTATAACATATCACTTTAACGTTTAAATCCTCGTAAAAAGCCTTAAATAGCTGATAATAATATTATACTTTGAAAAAACTGTAAGGATTTACTAATCAGATAAGATATATAAAATAAATATGCAAAATAAGGCCATAAGTTATAAATATGGGAAAATAACAAATGTGTTTATATTAAATGCATAATTAAATGATAATAATTGTGGTTATTTGATTAAAAAAATATAATAAATGATGGTTATATGATATTAATATAAAGGCATTTTATTGATGATAAGGTGCTTTTATTGCCGATAAGGAAGAAAAAAATAAAATATTTAATTTTATTAAATAAAAGGGTTGGATATTTACTATTATTAAAATATAAGAATATTATATTATACTTAATTAGCCTTAAATAAATTCTTTTTTTTTTAAATATTTTAATATATTAATTTTAATATTATTAATTTATTTATTATTATTTTATTATTATTATTATTATTTTTATTTATATATATATTTATTAATATTAATTAATGTTATTAAATAGTAATAATATAAATTAATAAGGTTAAAAGAATTATTATTATTTTAATTTAAAGATTTTTATTATAATAATATAAACAATATTAATATTTTTTTTATTTTATTTCCATAATTTATAATGAATTATAACTTTATTCCCTTACATAATCTATTTATATTTTTGGTAAATTATTATAATTTAAACCTTTTATTTACAAAATTATTATTATTTATATTATTAATTTTTCTTATTATATTTTAAGAAATATAAGTAAAGAGTTTAATATAAACATAAATTTACGTTATATACAATTTTATTAAATAAGAAAATATTAATAAATTACATAAACTTTTAAGCTATTTTTTTAATTAAATATTTATATTTAACATAATATTTAATTATATAATAATATAATAAAAAGAATTAATTTTTAAATAATTACATTTAAATAAAAAATAATATAAATATTTCTTATATTAATGAATTTTAAAATTATTAATAATAAGGTATTATATATATATTTAATTGAAAAAATAATAATTAAATATTAAAAATAATTTAAAAAGTTTATAGTAAATAATTTTAAAATACTACCAAAATAATTATAATTAATGTTACAAAATATATTAATATAAAAAGATATTTATATAAAGAAATATAACATTAATTATATAAAAATACTCGTTAATCTTATATTATTACGTAATTTATTTATATAAAATATTATTAAATTGAAAATAATAAAAATAAAATAGTTTAACGTATTAACGTAGAGAATTTTAATTTATAAAATTAAAAAAAGATTAATATATCTTATTACACACGCGTTCATATAATTATAAACACTAATATAATAATATTAAATAATTTTTAATCTATAAATGCTAATATATATAATTATATTTATAAGATAAGTTTTAATATAAAATATTATATCTTAAGTCTTATCCCTTTTTAACCTATAATATATATTATTTATTTTATAATTAAAATAAATATTATCTTTTACTTTTAATTAATCCTTATTAATCCCTAATATTTTACTATTAATTTAATAATTAAAATTTATTTTTTAATTTTTTAATTAATTACTATTCTTAATATATATTCCTTCCTTTTTTCTTTATATACTTAACTTAAACTTACTACTATAAAATATATTAAATTATTTATAATAATTAATATAACCTTAATAAAATAATTAAAATAATATTTAAATATTATTTAATCTTTTTTCCCTTTTTTTATTAACTTAATAAAGACTATTTATACTTTTTACAAAATAATAAAAATATAATTTAAAATATAATTTTAAATATAAAACTAATCAAACATAACCCCTTCTTTTAATTTTAAGAAATACATTTAAACCTCTTAAATTACTACTAAATAATTTATATATAATATTAACAATTCTACTAAATATTAAATTAAACAGAAGAAATTAACCTATTAAAAACTACAATTTCTTCTTTTAAATAGTTTTACCGCCTTTATAAATATCTAACCCTTTAGTTTAAACCCTTATATTTATTAATAATTAACAAATTTAAACTTATTATAATATTTTCCCAATACAAACCTTTAATAAAATATACCTTTTAACTATTATAAACCATTTTAAAAAAACCTAAAATAATAAAAATAATTATATAAAAAAAATATATAACATCCTTAAAAATAAATTTTAATTTTCCTTAAACATATATTATATAATAAAAATTTAATAAATATAATTTTATATTATATTTTCTATTATTTTTATCAAAAAAATAATAATTTACTTCTTTTATAATATATTTAAATATTAATATTTTATAAATATATACATAACTATAAAACAATACTTTAATATAGAATAAAATAAGA